GACGCGCGCGTAGCGCTCCTCCCGGTGCCCCAGGAGGAGGAGGGAGGAGGAGGAGGAGGAGGAAGAGGAGGAGGAGGAGGAGGAGGAGGAGGAGGAGGAGGAGGAGGAGGAGGAAGAAGAGGAGGAGGAGGAGGAGGAAGGAGAGGGAGGAGGATGAGGCGGAGGAGGAGGAGAAGGAGGAGGAGGAGGAGGAGGAGGATATGGATATGGTTATGGTTATGGATATGGATATGGATATGGATATGGAATATGGATATGGATATGGAGGAGGAGGAGGAGGAGAAGGGGGAAGAGGATGAGGAGGAGGAGGAAGAGGAGGAGGAAGAGGAGGAGGAAGAGGAGGAGAGGAGGAGGAGGAGGAGATGGGGAGGCGGAGGGGCGGTCTCTCTAGCGGCCCCTCTCTCGCGGGGGCCCCCAGACGCGGCCTGCGGGCAGAGTTCAGACACGCGGAGCGGATGGCCGCGTCTCGCCGTGGAGGGGAGCGGGTCTCAAGGGAAGCGGGCCCTTCGTTGGAGGGCCAGGCCTACGTGCTTCCTGAAGACCAGCATCTGGGGCCGAGGCCAGATACCGTTCTCGCGTCCTCGCCAAAGTGCATATGGACACATGGGGTGTCGTGACGTCCAGAGAGACACTCTCGGGTGGATACGTCTATGGGCAGCGTGGCCGCTGCGTTAGGCGCGTTGCAAGGCGGAGGAAGGTCTAGATCCGTCCACGGTGCTCCTGTTCTAGAGCAGGTCCCACATGGTATCCCAAGCCCTGGGGTTTTGCACCGCTTGTGGGCCCTCGGGGCCCTCCACGGGCCCTGGCGCTACCGCCGGAGAACGGCTCGAAGGAGGAAGACGTCGTCCCGGGGGAAGGCCCCAGGGTCCTGGGCAGGATCGCGACGTATCGTCGATGCATCGCCGATGCGGCTCGATGCGGAGCACGATTTTCTCCACGCCGACGTCGCCGATGCATCGCAGGCGCTGCTGGTGCATCGCCGATGCATCCGCGATGCATCTCCGATGTGTCGGCGCAACGCTGCGCCACTCTTCGACCCCAGCTACGCGGTCACCATATAGGAGGCCTCTAAGGGTCCAGGGTTCTGATGTTCCAACCTGCTTTGGCCTTGACCACCAGAAAGAATTTCGAGCACCAGAAAGCGCCGAAACTTGAGGGTTTCCAAGCGTCGGGCCTGGGGGGCGATACCCGGTCGACACCGTTCCGATGCTTTCTTGTGGGTGCTCGGAATGATTTCTGGGCCGTGGTCCTGCAGTGCGAGGGGGGCAACCGGAGAGGCCAGGGCCCGTCTTCCCCAGGACCCGCTGCCCCCCGTGCCGAGAGCTTCGGGTGTGGGAGGGCCCTGGGGGGCGACACCCGTTCGACACGGTTCCGATACGTTCCTGGGTGCTCGGAGTTGTGTTTGGGTTGTGGTCTTGCAGTGCGAGGGGGGCAACCTATGGCCAGGGCTCGTCTTCCCCAGGGCCCGCTGCCCCCCGTGCCGAGAACTGCGGGTGCGGGAGGGCCCCTTTGGGGGGCGACACCCGCTCGGCACTGCTCCGAGGCGCTCCCGGGTGCTCGGAGTCGTGTCTGTGTCTGGGCCGCGGTCCTGCAGCGAGAGGGGGGGGCAGCGGAGAGGCCAGGGCTAAGTCGGGCGTGTCCCCCTGGTCTGGGGACTTTTTTTTTGTGAGTATGTTTTGACCTTTTTGGGTTTTTTATTTATTTTTCCGTCGAAAATGCCCCCGTGTAGGGGGACGCGCCCGACGTAAGGCCAGGGCCTGTGTTCCCCCACGGCCCGCCTGCCCCCCGTGCTCAGGAGCTTCGGGGGCGAGAGGGGCGCGGGGGGGTCGGGCCGCTCCTCGGAGGCCCCCCCTGGGCCAGGCAGCCCCTTCGCTGAAGTCGGGCCTGCCCCTCCACAGGAGGGGTATTCAAAAAGAGTTGCTTTTGTTGTTGCTGCTGTTTTTGTTCTTTGTTGTTCAACAAAGTATGGGGACGATGTGTGTGTGTGTGTGTTGACTATTTGTTTGGCAACTTTTGGCCATTTTGACGTTTTTTTTTTTTGTTTTTTTTTTTTGGAGAGTATGGGGACGATGTGTGTTGGACTATGTTTGACAAGTTTGGTGTACTTGTCTTGCCATGTCTTGTTGTTGTCCGTCCGCGAGGCGCCTGTTGTGAGGGGGACGGGCCCCACCCGACCCTCCGTGGCCGGGGTTCGCCGCGGGGGGAGCAAAGGGCGGAGGCCCGCGCTGCGGCCCGCGGGGCGGTCGAAGCGGCGGGGAGCGAGGGGGGCCGCTGCGGGCTCGGGAGGGGGGGGGGGCGCGCTCTCGAAGGCCCAGGTCCTCCTCCTTTCTCCCCCCTCCTCCCCTCCTACCTCCTCCTCCTACTCCTCTCCATCCTCCTCCTCCTCCTCGTCCTCCTCCTCGTTCCCCTCCTCCCCTCCTCCTCCTCCTCCTCCTCCTCCTCCTCCGTAGCCATTTGGCTCAAGATGGGTTGCTCGGGGGGCTTTCAGCCTCCGTGCTTCACTGGATCGCACTACCGTGCGCAGGCAAGAGTGTGTGCACTCTGGCAGTCGGGCGGCCTCCTTCCAAACTCACGCGCGCCATGGCGGGGAGCGGCGGCGGGGGTGCTGGGCGTGGGGGAGGCGGCCGCGCGGCGTGGCCTGCGAAGTGGAAGTGCTCGGTGTGCGACTACTACAACTTCGCCGAGAGGGCGTGCTGTCGCAAGGGGTGCCAAGCTGCGGAGTGGCCAGCGCCGCGGCAGCTGGGCGCCTTTCCTCCGCTGCGGGGGTGGCCTGCAGGCGGCGGCGGTGGTGGTGCTCCTGGCTGCGCTGGCGGCGGGCGCGGCGGGCGTGGGGCAGGCGGCGGCAAGCCTCCCACACGTGCCCCGTGGTGGCGAGGCGGAGAAGGTGGCGGCCGTGACGCTGGTGGCGCCGTGGAGCTCAGCGAGGAGCAGCGCAGTGGCTTCGTGTGCATGGCAGAGGCCGACTTCGCCCTCAACGCCGCGCTCCTGGCCCCGAAGGTCCGCGAGCAGCTTCTGCAGGCACGGAGGCTGCGTGAGGGCGGACTGGGGGCCGAGCTGTCCAAGGACAAGACGGTCAAGGCGGCCCAGGTGCAGGCGGACGCCAAGGTCTTGCAGGTCAAGAAGATGGAGGGCCAGCTGGAGCAGGCAAAGGCCAAGGCGGGTGGTTTCGTGGGTGGTGTTGGGCTGTCCTCCGTGTTCTGTTGCGTTTGGTCGTTGTTGAGATTGTTTTTTTGCTTGTACCATGTTGGGGGTCGGTCCGCTTGCGTGGTTGTGGTGGTTGTTGGTGCTGGTGGTGGGGTGGGGTGGCATCAGGGTGTCGTGGCGGCCATCAACGAGTCGGCCAGCCTCGCGGACAAGTTGGTGCTGCTGCGGAAGGAGTGCGACGAGGCGGCGGCCAAGGCACGCGAGGCGCTGGCGGCTCAGCGCACCAGGGTGGCGGCCGAGGAGGCTGAGGCGGCGGCAGCAGCCGCCGAGCCGAGAGCAGCACCAGCAGCCTCCCTGGAGTCGATACAGGAGGCGATCGGCGGCTTGTCGAGGGACGAGATCGCGAAGCTCGGGAAGGTGTTTGCGGAGCTCAGCGGCATGCCAGGCGCCGCCGCCGCAGCGTGGGCGCCTCCCCGTGCGCCTGTGGCAGCGGCGGTCCCTGTGCCCTCGGCGGTGCCAGCAGCAGCGCAGCAGGTGGACGCTCCCAAGGAGGAGGGGCCTGGCGTGTCGCAGGCGGCGCAGCAAGCGTGGCAGGACATCACGTGCGGGATTGAGGACCCCGCCAAGAGGGAAGCAGCGGAGCAGTTGCTGGGCGACGCCAAGAAGATGCGGACGGAGGCCAAGCAGATGGAGGAGGAGTCCTAGCAAGAAGTGTGGGGTCTGGAGGATCTGCACGGTCAACGTCAATGCGTTCAGCAACCTGGGAAAGTGCATGGCGGTGAGTGAGGTGCAGGACTGCGACGCCATACTAGTCCAGGAGACGAGGCTCCTGGAGGGAAGGAGCAGTGATGCGGAGGCGCAGCTCCGCAGCCAAGGGTGGCGGGCGAGAGGCACGCCTGCAGTGCCGTCAGCGGCAGGAGGCCTCAGCACAGGAGGCCTCCCCACCATGGTGAGGAGGAGCCATGGCATGGCGGAGGTGCAGGACCAGCAGGCAGCGGTGCTGGTGGCAGGGCGAGTGCACCTGTGTTGGGTGTCAGGCGTGCTGAGCAGCGGCTTCTTGCTCGCCAACCTCTACCTGGAGGCGGGGGTCGGCCTCAACGATGGCAACGCGGCCAGCCTCAGGAGGCTGGCAAGGAGGTTGAGGCAGTGCCGCAGGGACTTCGTGGTGGGCGGCGATTGGAACCTCACGGAGGAAGAGTTGCAGGCAGGCGGGGTGCCCGACATGTTCGACGGCGAGGTGGTCAGGCCCGCCTCGCCCACGTGTGCAGCGTCGGGGAGGACCATCGACTTCTTCCTGGTGCCCAGGGGGCTGGCTGCGCTGGGTGTGCGGGTGGTGGAGGCCTCGCCAGTGTGCCCGCACTCGGCGGTGATCCTCGAGATCCGCAGGCAGCAAGAGGAGGAGCGCTTCAGGCTGGTCCAGAAGCCGCGGACCTTTCCTGAGGTTCGGCCGCAAGGGTGTTGTGAGAGAGACCACGGCAGCAGCTGGAGGCAAGCCAGGATGAGGGTGCAGGAGCAGCTCGCGTCGGTGCTGAGGTTCGAGGGTGAGGCCGCAGCGAGGAGCACCCCACGTGCTGAGGAGGAGGCCCCTCAGCCCAGCAGCAGTGGCGGCGCAGCAGGTCAGCGCACAGCTAGAGCTGGCCAGGAGATTCCCAGGCCAGCGAGGGGCAAGGGAGCTGAAGGGGTGTCTGCGGCGGAGAGATGGGGGCCACTAAGCAGCGTGCTCCCGATCGCACCTGCGCCGCCGTCCTGCGTGACGGACGTGAATCTGATGAGGTGCTGCGTCCAGCATGGCGAGGAGTGGCAGAGCATCCTCGACAGCTGCGGGCTACGGCGAGAAGTTGGCGCGGAAGGGCTCG